AGCGGGCGGGGGGCTCGGGCGGACGCCGGGGCTCGGAGGAGCAGGGCGCGAGCCAGGACGCCTGGCTTCGCTCCCCAGGGCCGCGGGGCAGGGCCGCTCCGACCCCGCACGGACTAGCTCCCCAGCGCGGTGGCTGGGGCACTGCAAAGCCCAGAGGACGGGCCCTGGGCTGGGGGCCCCTCCAGCCCCGGGGGGAGGCTACAGCCACTGGTACAAGCACAGGAAGGAACCCGGATAAACAGCAGGAGCGTGGAAAACCCAGGCCCCCTCCCTGCCTCCTGCAGGACTCCTAGGTCCGAGACCTCCTTCAACCCCCCACCACACAGCAGTTCACACAGGAAGGGCAGTCAGGGCTCTTTATTGGGGAGCTGGGGCCGCACGCCAGGTCCTTCCACCCCGTTGGGACACTGCGGCGCTGGGGGTCCACGCCAGGCTTCCTGCAGGAGGGAAGAGAAGGAGCCTGGAGAAAGAGCCCGCTGGCTGCAGGAACGTGCCTCAGGCCAGGGGCAGCCTCCCCCTCCCCCAGGGCTGCCCAGGACTCGCAGGTTCCCAGCACGGAGGCCAGTCCTCCCCCTGCTCACCTGCTCTAGGCTCAGGTCCCCCCCAAATGTGGGATAGAGCTAGGCCTCAGCTCCAGGTCCAAAAGCCAGGGCGCGGGGACAGCACATAGGGCCTAGTCCAGCAGCTCATGGATGCACCAGCAACACAGCAGGGCGTAGACGCACTGGCGCAGCAGGCGCAGCAACCAGCTGCCCAGGGGGAGGCCCACAAAGCTCTTGGTGGGGGGCCCTGGCAGTGCCACAGCCCGAGCCGACCGCCACAGGCGGTAGGGGCCCGGCTGCACCAGGAGGGGCCAGGGCCCTGGGGCCAGGAGGCGCTCCAGGAGGTGCATGGCCAGTGATCAGCCGTGTCTGTCACTGGCAGGCACGTGACAGCCAGTGCGGCTCAGCGCAAGTGCTGGAAGCTGCAGCCACATTCTCCACAGCTTAACGGGCAACAACCAGCCCTGTGGGGGAGGGGTGCCACTGCTGAGCGGGGGCAGGGCAGGTGCCAGGGCAGCTGCGGTCACCCCCAGGCAGCCCACACTTGCTGCGTGGGGCTGGAGCCAAGTGGGCCTGGCCCAGGCATCCTGCCTCTGGCTCCCAGGAGAGTCAGACTCTGTCCCCTTCCACCTGGGGGAGCTGGGGCTGGTGTAGGTTGAGAGAAGCAGGTTTCTTCGCATCTGCTGGCTCAACCCTTCTGCCCAGGGACAGCACCTGGGGCACCTGAAGCCAGTGCCACAGGGGACTGTGCACCCTGCCCTGCGCCGGGGACATGCTCCTGCTCCCTGCAGGGCCTGGATGGGGCAGCAGCTGCAGTGCCAGGATAAGGCCATGCCCCAAGGGGCCAGCGCACAGCAGAGGCGGGGGGCCCAGCACCTGTGCCTGTCACTGGCGGGAGGTGCGCTCATCCTCCTCGTTCTCCAGCAGGTAGGCTGGGCGGTAGCTCTCCCTGCCCAGGGCATTGGTGAAGCGCAGCGCCGGGTTCTTCTGCGTGTTGCTCATGCTCCCCAGGGAGGTGTAGCTGCAAGGGGCGAGAGGGGGAGATGTGAGGAAGACACTGGGCCAGCCCACCCCCCTCCACACCACAGCAGGGGCAGCTCCTAGCCCCCTTGCTGGGGCTTGGTAACCTGCCCCATGCATCCCACCCCTCACCAGCTGAGACAATGCATAGCCCACCCCCTGCCCTGGGTGCCGGGGGCACAGGCAGGGAGCCAAGGCCAGCGCTGCACTCACCCCTTGTCGTAGAGGATGCAGTAGGGGATGAAGAGTGTGCGCAGGAACTCCCAGATGTCCCGGTACGTCCAGTCCTGGGGGAAGAGAGGAGCGGAGCAGATCAAAGTGCCGCTGTAAAGGCTAAGCCCACGGGGCTGTCATTGGCCCTGTACTCCCATGCCCGGGTCTGGCCAGCGGCAGAGCCCAGCTCCTCTTGCTTCCCAGGCAGCAGGAAGGGCCTGTCCCTGCCCAGGCTCCTGGCCTCAGGGCTGCCAGCCAGCTAGAGGCAGGGGCACACAGCAGGGAGCGAAGCATTGGCCCATGTATCTTGGGACTCATCTCCTCCCCCAGCCACCAGGACTGGAGGCCCAGGAATGCAGCTGTGGGAGTGGAGGGACACAGCCTGCAGCGATCCAGCTCAGGGGCAGGGGTCCTTTGCACAGGAAGGAGCAGCCCTGTAGCAGTGGTGGAGGGATCCTGAGACCCTCTCTTCCCAGCCCCTCCCTGGGGGATCCAGGACTCCTGACCTCCATGCTTGACCCCACTGCCCCCTCAGACCTGGGGCAAAACCCAGGCATCTGGGCTCCCAGAGCTCCGTGTTCGACCCCATCCCTTTCCCTGAGCTGGGCACAGACCCCCCCCACCTGCCAGCCACCCACCTGACCCTCCAAGAGCCAGGGCAGAACCCCGGCGTCCAGTGGCTGTGACGCACCAGCAGGGGGTTCACTCGCATGTATGGGGGCCAGCCAGGGTCAGTCATGCACATGGGCATCAGCGTGCAGGAGTAGGGGTCAGTTCGGCGCGTGCCCATCAGCACAGCCTCCAGCTCAGGGTGCTGCACCCGCAGCTTGGCCAGGGCCTGCTGGATGTCGCCCTGCAGCACATGTAGCCGGAGGTTGTACCTGCGCCCAGGGTAAAGACATGGCAGGGCTTGGCTCAGGGGCTCCCCAAGCTCTTTGCCTCACCCGCTGCAGGGGGGACGTGGGAATGGCCCCAAAGATCCCTCCAACCCATCCCTCCCAACCTGTGGGTGGTGGCCTGGATGAACTGCTCCATCTCAGGGAAGGGGGATGGGATGCGGATGTAGAGAACCTGCAGCTGCTTCACAAGCCCTGGGTATCGCCTGTGGAGGGACAACATCTGCATCAGGAAGACTTGCAGAGGCAGAAGCACAGGAGTCCTGCCCCCAGGAAACCCTGCACAAGTGAGACATGACACCCCAGTGCTTCTGGGTTCTTCTGCCTCTACCCACTAGGCACCACTCTCCTCCCCACATTGCACCAGCCCCATTCCCCATGGGCAGCTATGGTACCTCTGCGTGGCAGCATGGAACAGGTGCAGCAGGGCCGTGCAGTCCTTGCCCCCATTGAAGCCAGCGCAGACCCTGTCCAGGCCAAAGCGGTCCAGGGCCTCCTCAATGGTCCGCAGTGCTGCCGCCACCTTCTGGCCCAGAGCAGAACCTGCTGGGGGGGAGCATGCATCAGGGCACTGGGACCTGGCCAGGGCAGCCCTCGCTTGCCAGAGGGGAGGCAGCTCCTGCACACTGGCCCCCAGGTCGAAGGAAGCACATCAGCCCTTGCAGGCTTCCTACCACACCAGTGCTGCACAGACACAGAGACCCCTGAGCTCCGTTGGAGCAGAAGGCAGGTCTCAGCCCCGCTGTGAGCCAGAACTGAGCCACATAGCCCCCAGCCCAGTGCCGCACAGAGGCAGCTCCTGTGCTAGGAGACGGTCCCACCCCAAGCCTCAGCCACGGGTCAGTGCAGCAACCAGCAGCATCTCCTCCCCACTTATGGCCCCGCATAGCCAGGCTGCCCCCTCCCCCAAGAGGCATCAGGAAGGAGCCTGGACCCCAGCCCCATACCACACTCAGCCAGAGCATACACCACCACGGCCGCCTGTGCCACAGGGTCCGTGACCAGGGGCACCACGGTGCCTGCGGGCAGCCGCTCCATCAGGAAGCGGTAGGCTTCTTCCAGGTGCTGCTCCGACTCCGAGTCCAGGGTCAGCTTCACACGGTAGTAATTGCTGGCCCAGTCTGGGTAGGAGCCCAAGCTAGTGAGACTCCCGAAGCTGGCCTGCGCCTGGCTGAGCACGGCTGCAATGCAGGTCTCGTCGGCCCCCACATAGATCTCCCGAGAGTAGAAGCGGGTTTGCTCATTGCAGAAGAGGTGATTGAGCCCCTCCAGCGCCCGTTCCATCAGTGCTGGGATGCCTGGAAAGAGGTAGACGTTGCGCACGCTGACCAGTGGGTATTTGGCAGCAGCACCCGTGCGCTGATCCATGCCATAGTTGAGTCGCGAGGATTCGGGCACACAAGCCAGCTTCATCTCAGGGCACTCTGGGTCAGTCTTGCCAAAAAACTTGTGCACCAGGGCCACCAGCTGCGGGTGGGGGACGACCCGCTCCCCAAAGGCCTGGGCCACTGCCTCAAAGGTGACATCATCGTGGGTGGGACCGATGCCCCCTGAGGTCAGGACGTAGGTGAACCTGGCGGCAAAGGAGGTGATCTCGCCTGCAATGGCATCCACGTCATCGGGGACCACCGAGATCCGCTCCACCTTCACCCCCAGCGAGCGCAGCTTCTTGCACATGAAGAAGGAGTTCGTGTCCTGGGTGTGTCCCTGGGGAGGCAGGAGGTTGAAGCGCTTACACGCCAGGACCTGGGGACAGACCTGGGGCTGGAGTCACGCTCCCGATGCAGGGACCGAAGTGGGGCCCCCTCGGCCGCAACGAGCGCTGGGATGACGGGCTCCTGGCCCAGCTCTGCCGTGTGAGCGGTTCAGGGTT